GAGGCTAAATGACCACCTTTCAGAAATACTTTAGAGATGATTCCTCAACGGAAGGGAAATCAGATTAAATTTTTTAAAAAACTCCTTCTAAATCTAATAATCCATAATTATATGGCCTTTATTTCTCCAATGACAAGATTGATGCTTCTAAGTGTTCAGATTAAAGATTTTCAAAATAAAGTAGCCCCCAGCTGAACTTAATCACCAATATACTCTCTCCCAGTGAAAAAAGATGCCACCTCCTCCCGTGGCCTCTTAACGTACCCCAGCAGCAACGTAGAGGTCGGGCAGGTGTTGACGCACGCACGCCTCGGCCTCGGGAAGCAGGGGGTGGTCCCTCAGGCTCCACAGCACCCTCTCAGGGTCTACGCTTGGGGAGCACTTAGTGGTGGCTATGTATCTGCAACACATTCACAGAAGAGTCCGTGAGAAGGACGATCACAAGCCCCGACGTGCGGGGAAGGACTTCGAAATCTGCCTCCCCTGCGGAGAAAAGCGGCTCACCGTATGAGGTTCAGCACGCACAAGTCCGACTCCTTTTCTATGCCGCAGTTCAACAGGATGCCGTCCACTCTGCTCACGGCTTGCTCCTCGTTCATCAGGTATCGATGGTACAGCTTCTTCCAAGGAATGAACTACATGGTTCAAGAAATCCAAAATAACACGCGGGCAACGGCTATTAGAAAGCAGACTGAGCCACAAACACATAGATAACCTTCCAACAACTGAAAAGCAATGACAGCTCACGATTCAAAAGCTGTGCAAATCAGGCAGAAATATAATGCAAATTTTGGTTAGAAACCAGGAGAACTGGGTCTTGGTCCTGGTTCTAACACTAACTTGTTATACAATTTGGGAAAAGCTAGTACGGTTTCCCAGTCTGAAATATCAGCACACTAGTAGCTCAGAGTTTCAATGAGAATAAAATGAGAGCTGGGCTATGCTAACATCAGACGAAACGACTTTAAGGCAAACACTGCTACAGAGACAAAGAAAGACAATACATAATGATAAAAGGGGCAGTTCACCAAGAAGATACAATAATTATAAAAACATATGCACCAAATATCAGAGCTACTAAATATATGAGGCAAGTATTGACAGAACTGAGGAAGAAACAGGTAGCAACACAATAACAGCAGGAGACTTCAACAGCCCAATTTCCATAATGGATGGAACAACCAGACAGAGGATGAACAAGGAAACAGGACTTGAGGAATACTACAGACTAACTGGATCTGACACACACACACACACACACACACACACACACACACACACACACACACACACACACACAGAGTATTCCACCCAACAACTGCAGAATATACATTCTTTCAGTGCACATGAAACTGTCCCCAGGATGTTAGTCCACAAAACAAGTCTTACAAATTCAAAAAGACTGAGATTATACAAAGTGTCTTTTTCAATCCCTATGGAATGAAACTAGAAATCAGTAGAAGGAAAACTGGGAAATCCACAAAGACACGAGAATTTAACAACACACTTAAAACAGCCAATGGGTCAAAGAAAAACATCACAAGGAAAATTAGAAAATGCCTTGAGACTAATGAAAATGAAAACACCACATCCCGGAACTCGTGGGATGCAAGGAATGCAGTGCACAGAGGGGAGTTCAGAGCCATAAACGCTCACATTGAAAAAGAAGATCCAAAATCCACAGCCTAACTTTACACCTCAACAAACTAGAAAAAAAAAAGCAAAGCCCAAGCGAATAATTTAAAGTGGGGAGGAAAACCGTAATAAAGGATGTGATAAATCCCGTAGGAGAGGTGTAAATTGCTGTAGTAGCACACAGCAGAGAACACGATTAACTCCAGTGGGCTGAAATGGAAGGACCAGGTAGTAAGAGCTAAGCCCTGAAGAACAGGTCGGGTGTCACAGAGATGTGCGGGGCCCTCCAGGCGGGGTGGGGAATTAGAGCAATCACAGCGGGCAGGCAGGACACAGGGAGGATGTGCTGAGGCTGGGTATCGGGGTGGCGCAGACGTGAGGCCGTGAGCGTCTCTAAGCAGTTTGGACGGCGTTCTGAAGGCAAGCGGAAACCGCCATTTCTGAACAGACCCTCTGGTCAGAAGCGTACATTATTTTATGTGCTTTTAGGGACGGTGCCCTTTGACTCCGAGCACTGCACTCACCAGCGGGTCGCGGATGATCTCCCTCCACAGGTGGCACACCAAGCTCAGGTTCCAGTAGAGGTCCTCCACCGGGAGGAAGGCGAACACGTGCCTCAGGACCTCGCTGGGCAGGCTGCAGATGTGGCTCGGCGCTTCCTGGCAGGGCAAGGTCCCAAGAAGCCCATAGTACTCGTCAGGCTCGGGATCAGGACCAACGTCCCCGACGTCCTGGTCGGTTTCTCCAGACTCTGCAGAGAGCTGTGACCCGCAGTCCTCCACTTCCTGCCGCGCTTCCTTAGGCCTTGTGCATGGCAGGGACGGATGATGCCGTGGGGTTTTCTTAGCAACTCCATCCCACTGGCTGGCCCCAGTAGCCTGATTACCGTCTTCCTCAAAGGACCGAGACCGCTTCCTGGTGGGCACGGGAGACCCTGACGCGCCCAACCTCGCTTCTCCATCGCATCCCTGAAGTGGGGCACAACTGCTCTCTGCAGGAAAGATCATGTCACCCTCCGAGTCCTGACAGCTGTCCTGGCCAACAGAATTGCTTCTGGCCATGTCATTGGTGCACGGCTGCCGGCCAGCTAGGAAGAACTCAGGGTTGCATCTTTGACATCCTCGACCTGTCCAGAGAACCCAAAAAGTAAAGGACGAGAAGTGAGCAATGACTGCTGACCTGCCGTGGACCCAAATAAGACAAACTAATTTACACTTATCTATGTTAACAGAGGAAAGAGAGATGCATTTATTTATGGGCCAGGTCATTATATAAATAGCTAATCCAAAAATGTTTATATTTGGCTCTAGGGTATAATCAGACACACACTTGCAAAGAGACACAGGCCAGTCTCTGGGTGGCGTGATGGCCCACATCACACCTGCAATGTACACAAGGGTGACACGCTGCTCACACTCACACCTCCACTCACAAAACACAACTCTCCGGACTTGCTCCCTCAACAGAAAGTCTAAGTGTGCGTAAGTACAAAGGAACATGCTTGACGTTATTAGGATTCAGAAAATCCCACTCTTCATTTGACAAAGTTGAACCCTTTTATTTCCTCCGGTGAAGCTGATACAGTAATATATTTTAAAATAAAAAGAAAGGATTCAGAATTCTTTTCATATTACTGGAGTGACACCTAATCTCTGCTACGCATGTATTCGACCAGCATTTACTAAGACCCTGTGACCATGAGGCAAATATAAAGTGAAAAACGGCCCGTTTCCTGACCTCGCAGACTTTCAGGTACGTAGAGAAACCCAAATGGTGACTTCACACATCACCACGGCATTTTCAGACTCCTAAAAATTATTTTAAAATGCCAATGAAG